GCCCGAGTCGCCGACTCAACATTCCTACCATTTTGGGGACGAGACCGAGTGGGGAGCTGGGAACATAACTTCACAAGATGGAATTCACTCCTCCCGACTTTAGGGAAGTAGGTGAGTGTTCCCTTAAATGCTGACTCCGGGACTTGAACAAGGGGCCCCACCCTCTCATTGGCCGAGAGGGACTTCCGGTTATTGGTCGGATCATAACCGGGTTGTTCATTAGAGGAGCAGTGGTGTTTAAGGAGTAAGATGTAACTCTTGGGTGAGCAGATCTTCTTGGAGAGACAGTCGTCCTCAAGGTGAGGTCTTCCTCGAAGGGAAGGTCATCCGTAGTGAGTAGTCACTCTTTGAGAGAAAGTCGTCCTTAAGGGTGAGGTCTTCCTCGAGGGGAAGGTCATCCATAGTGATAGAGTCTCTCTTGAAGTACGTCTTCCTAGAGAGAAAGTCGTCCTCAAGGTGAGGTATTCCTCGGGGGAAGGTCATACGTAATGATAAGATCTTTCTCTTCAGCGAAGATCTTTAACAAGAAGATCTTGAAGAGCTTTGGAGATCCATCCAATTGTTGGGAATACTAGAGCTTTAAGAAACTGTACGAGTCATAGTTTGGTTTGGTAGGAATGACTTAAATTTGTCAATTCCCATGGACGACGCTAACTGTTGATGCAAAATTTGAGCTGATGAGGTGCGAGCTCATGCAAGGTAGGACCTGCAAAAAGAAAGTAAACACTCTGATGCTCTAAGTCAGTATAGATTCGAGCTCAAATAGGTCATTCTCAGAATAGAATTGCATACCTGAGTAAGAGGAATGTAGATCATTTTATAGGCGAAGTGAAAGGACGTGTCTGTTAGGGTCGTTACGACAAGGCGGTTAGATGTCGGGTCATAGGTCGGCTATGGATGAGCTCAAGCTCGGTCATAGGTGAGTTTAGGAGCTCGACCATAGGTGAGCGTAAGAGCTTGGCAATAGGTGAGTTTAATTAGGAGCTCGGCCGTAGGTGAGCTTAGGAGCTCGGCAGTAGGTGATCTAAGGAGTTCGGCCATAGGTGAGCTAATTAGGAGCTCGACCATAGGTGATGGGACAAGTTTTTTTTTTCTTTTTACAGGTTTTAGGGGTGGTGGGACAACTTAATATTATCAGTAATAATTAGCATCTCATTTTTAGGGTTTTTAAATCCAAACATTTTTCTGCCTTACTTTTTACTTTTATCTTCATTACAAATTTGAACACAATTTGTAACGGCTCCACGAGCAACTATGAAACTATGTTTATGAATTTAAACACAATTAGTATCGCTTACAGTACAGTGAAAATTTGATAAAATATCAATAAAATATAAGTAATATTAATATTATTAATTATTAATTAAATGAAATATTTATTTGTTATTTTAAATATTTGTTATAATTTTCCATAAATATCCATCAACATCTATATTATCAAGATTTCTGCTAAAACTCTCATAAAATTAAGACCTATCTAAGACCTTGTTCCAGCAGTAATCTTCTTAAACTATAACCTATTTTTGACTTTTTGTTTCTTCAAATATCAGTGAAATTTCTAATAATAGAAATTATTTTTAAAAAATATCCATCAACACCAATCTTTTATCAATATTTCCACCGACACTTTTACAAAGTTGATCAGATCTCGTCATGTCCATTGATGTCGATATCTAAAACCTATGAGTAATATTCTTAAACTATAGCCTACTTTTTGACTTTTTATTTCTTTACGACCCATTTGGTAACATTCTCATATATGGTTTCTCATTTCCAATTTTCTTAAGAAATCTAAGCGTTTTACACCTAACTATTTCATGTTTATTTTTTTAGAACATTTTAAACTTGTATAGAAATTTTGGAAACAACCAAA